CAAGAAGCAAGAAAAGATGAGGCAGCAGAGTAGATGGGGCTTGGCTGGGCAGCTCTTTGGTCTCGGCTTTGTCCACACGTCCTGGGTGGCTGGTTCCCGCGCCGTGGGGTTGGCTGAGTGACAGGGTGCCTGGGCTCTCCTCGGTTCCCGCAGGCTCGCTCAGGCATGGCTTCGAGGTGACTGAATGAGCCCAGGGGAAGCAGAAACAAGCAAATGCATTTTCAAGCCTCTGCAGGTGTCACACCTGCTAACATCCCAGGCTCAGCGGGAAGAAAGTGACCCACCTCTTTAGCGCTGCAGGGACCCTGGCAAAGGGACTTGGAGAGGAGTGGGGTGAGTCCAGGTGAGAAGTTGGGGTGAGTCCAGGTGAGAAGGTTGGGGACAGGGAGGCTCTGCTGACGGGGAAGAAGGCAACCAGCGACAGAGTGTGGGATGTTGACTTCCAGGCTAGACCTGCCAGTCATGGGACCCTGGTCGCTCTGGCTGGGACCAGTCACAGGGCCCCACAGGTCTGAAGGGTGGCTGGGAAAGTGGTGTCCTGGAAGGGAAGTGGGCCTGGCCAGTTCCTCAGATCTGCCACCCCTGGGACCCCGCCTTTGTCCCCAGATGCCCGGAGGCTCCAGATTCTCACAGGTGCCTTAGACCGAACTTCCTCATCTGGTGGGACTGTCTGATCCATTGTGAGGTGGGCTCGGGCCCAAGGGTGGGTGTGTGCAGCCCCCTGCACCCTTCCCAGCTGGCGCATCACCGGCACATCCGCCCGACAGATATTTTGTTGCTCATGACTACGGTCCTCTCACACGTCTGTGGCCCCTCATTGTGTTCCAGCTGCAATAGGTAATGGCAGGGACTGGGGTCCATCTCCGTGACGGGGGCAGGAAGAGGCAGGGACCTGCTCCCATCAGCTCCCCTGGGCCCAGTCAGGTGGCCTCTCAGGAGGAGTTCCCGCGTGGGCACCACTGGTGCTGGAGACCAGGGAGTTCACAGTGAACCTGATGAACTGAAAGGCTTTTAAGGTAACAATTAAATGGCCTTAGTGATTCCAGACAGACATGCTGCATGCCCTGCAGGAGTTTCCAGACCCAAGGGAGCTGAGGAGGGACCAAGGAGGGGCAAGGGCAGATTCGCGGTCATGAGTGGAGGGATGAGGGAGTTACTGACAACATGGTAGGACATCAGAAGGGCACTTACCCCCTCGTGGTGAGGGCTTCCCAGAGCGGCCAGGACTTCTGCTCCTGAACAAGAAAACCACGGACAAGCGTGTCCATCACCTGCTTGCACTGCCCAGCCCCACTGAGCTGCTCTAGTTCTTTCAGTAAAAGGAGCTGTCCTTCTGCTTGCGGCCTTCACACATTCTGTTCCCTCTGTCTGGATCCTTCTCCTTCAACCTCTCCTCCACCGTCCTCTTTCTTCAGCTGAGTCGCAAGGGTAATTGTTGGAATGATAATCTCTGAGCAGGAAATTGTACATGGTGAATATACTAACTGCCACTGAACTGTACACTTTCAAATAATTTCTGTGAAATTAGACTTTAAAAAGCAGAAGAGTTTAGATTGTTCTAAAACCACAAAGAACATACAAAAGGTTAAGGAGAGCAAAGATGATGAGAGGCTTTCACTGGGAGAGGGGCTGCTGGGCTGCATCTGCCCTTAGCAAAGTGGGGGGTGAGGGTGGGGGTGCCGTGTTTAAGCCCAAGCCCCTGACAGGGGAGGCCTTGAGGGCACTGTGCCTCTTCCTGCCGTGGAGCAGGAGCACCCACCTGGGGATCTGGGTGAGAGTCGGGGCCCATGGGCCTGGGCTCTGGCAGAGGGAGGATGTTGGTGTGTGTGTGTGTGTGTGTGCTGGGGGGAGTGCTTCTTCGGAACCAGGACTGTGGGCAGTGGGTCCCGCAGGCCTGTGGGATGCAGACAAAGGTGAGGCCGGGGGGACCCAGGGAAGGCAACGTACAGAGCTGTGCAGGGACCCCCTCGGGCAGGTGTAGGAGACTGACTTTTGCAGAAAGTAAGAGAGAGGGCATGGTCCGTGGTAACTCTGAGGTCAGCAACTGAACCCAGCAGGAAGATGCTGAGGCCACACTTCCCCTCGCCCGTCTTTCGGTAATAAGTGATTTGTTCGATTTGAAGGTTGAGGTTTTATTCTGATCTTGGTATAAATCTTAGACATCAAGGTTTCCTTTTCTGTAACAGTGTACAGGTGAACTAGACTTCCTTACTTTTTATCTGTGCACCGGCCCCGCCAGGCACGCTCACAGGTGCCCCCTGCCCGCCCCGCCCCCTCCCCTTCTCTTCCTCCTGTGTTTATGGTGGTAGAATAGACATAACACTATCACTTTAACAGTTTAAATGTGTATAGTTTAGTCACATGAACTACACTCAGTGCTGTCTCACCATCACCACTATCTACAGCCAGAACTTTTCAGCCCCCGAAACAAAAACTGGACACATTGAACCTTCTCTCCCCATTCCTCCATCTTCCAGCCCCTGCAACCACTGCTCGCTTCCTGTCTCAGGATTCGTCTGTTCTAGGTCCTCTTCTAGGTGGTGTCATACACTCCTGGTCCTCTTGTGTGTCTGTCTTCTTTCCTTCAGCATCACGTCCTCAAGGTTCATCACGTCGTAGCCCGTGTCAGGGTTTCAGTGCCTTGTGAGGGGCCGGCGGTGGCTGTGTGTGGATACAGCACGTTTCGCCCATTGGTTCATCTGCTGAGGGACACTTGAGTTGTTTCCCTCTTTTGACAAAAGTTAGTTTTTAAACCATCTAGGAAAACAACAGTTAGGTTAAAATAAGGACATGGTTAATTTTTAATTAGGAGTCATCGTGCCACGGTGGGGGGTGTTCATGAATAACTTTTTTGGCATGGACTACACACCTCACAGTTACCTTCTGGAAAAAATCCATGTGGACATGCTCAGCTTCATACACTGAGGATCACAGTGTAGATCAGCCGTGGGCAAACTATGGCCCGCGGGCCGGATCTGGCCCGTTTGAAAGGAATAAAACTAAAAAAAGAAAAAAAGACCATACCCTTTTATGTAATGATGTTTACTTTGAATTTATATTAGTTCACACAAACACTCCATCCATGCTTTTGTTCCGGCCCTCCGGTCCAGTTTAAGAACCCATTGTGGCCCTCGAGTCAAAAAGTTTGCCCACCCCTGGTGTAGATTTTGTTAAAGACGAGTCTTGTTATGAGAAGCTTATTTTAGGAATAACTGTTCAGGAAGCACAGACTGTGGCCAGGTGGCTGACAGGTTTTCACACTAGTGGCTGACAGGACAAAATGGTAGGACCTTATTTTGAGCATCACAGGCACTTTAACAGGGACAGTGCCCCTGTGGGCCAACCACCGAAAGCCAGGGTTAAAGGGCCATGGGGAAGAGCAAAACCTGAAGGCGGCTCTCTCCGGCCACTCAGGGCACCTTCACTCAGTGGCGTGAAGCAGGGACAGGGACATGTTGGGTTAGGGATCTGTTGCCTGAAGAGCAGCCCAAGGAAGTAGGGAAGCACCCAGGGACAAAGGTGAAACCCCCCAGGGCTTGTGAGCCTAGGAAACAGGAGGCCAGAGCGCCTGCTGGGGTGCTGGGATGGAGCCCTCAGGCTCCCAGAAGCCTGGGTTCAGGGGAACTGCACTCAGCAGGGAGGCTCGCTCCAGCGGAGCCCTTGCCATGTGGCATTCTGAGAGACAGGCGGGTGGGACAGAGGGGTCTGTTGTCTGTTGGGTGCAACATGGGGGTTCCCCTTTCCTCCAACCACTGAAGACATGAGTGGCTTCTCCTTGGAAGCAGCAAGAGGCAGCTGGTGCCTTGATGATGTCTGTAACCTGGAGATCCTTGAACCTGAACTGGGTGGTGAGACAGGCAGGAGGGTGAGCAGGACACCAGCCTGCCATGCACACTCCTTCCCTTCTCTCCACCTGCTCTTCCAGGCAGCATGACCTTTCATGACCTTCGTTTTCTCTCACATCTCACTCTTACTATTTTAATCCTCTCTGGAGGTTGTTATTTTAATTGATTTTTAGAGAGAAAGAGAGAGAGAGATTGATGGGAGAAACAGGTATCAATCTGCTGCCTCCCGTACACGCCCCAGCAGGGGATGGAACCTACAGCCCAGGATGTGCCTGATGGATGATGGAACCGGCCACCTTTGGTGCATAGGATGATGCTCCAATCTACCCAGCTACCTGGCTGGGACATCGCATCACACACTTAAACTACCTCTTTTCCCCTTTCAAAGACGTAGTTAATTTTGTCCTCACTGTTGACAGATTGTAGTTTGTCTTTTGAATTGTTTTAGCCTAACCTACCTTCTCTTAGGCTTCCTGATCTAGCATTTTTATCTTGCCCTTTTTTGTTGTTGTTTATCTCCCCCCCCCTTTTAAAAATATACTTTATTGATTTTTTACAGAGAGGAAGGGAGAGAGAGAGAGTTAGAAACATCGATGAGAGAGAAACATCCATCAGCTGCCTCCAGCACATCTACTGGG